GGCAAGCAAAGTGCCTCTGCACACTCTTTCAGTACCCATGGCGAGATCCCGTCTGGACCAACAGCCTTTCTAACATCCAGATCCAGCAGGTGTCTCTTGACCTCTTCTCACGTAATTTCGAACTCTTCCAAGGCCGCCTGGTTTACCTCCCTTTCTCCTAGCACAGTGACCTCACCTTGTTCTACTGTGAAGACCTGGAACCACTTGTTGAGTTCTTCACACACCTCTTTGTCATTCTCTGTATACCTGTCCTCGCCTGTTCTAAGTTTCAATACCTGTTCTTTCACTGTTGTTTTCCTTCTGATGTGACTGTGGAGTAGGTTTGGTTTGGTCTTGGCTTTGTTTGCTATATCATTTTCATAACTTTTCTCTGCTTCTCTTCTCACCCTGACGTACTCATTCCTGGTTCTCTGGTATCTCTCTTTCTGCTTTCTGGTATTCTGTTATTCCGGAAGTTCCTCCACGCCCTTTTGTTCAGTTTCTTCGCTTCCATACACGCCCTATTATACCATGGATTCTTTTGTTGCTTCTCGGATTTTTTCCTTTGAGCCGGGATTAACCTGTTTACTGCCTCCTGACACTTTTGGGCAACATAGTCCATCATACCCTGTACAGACTTGTCTCTGAGGTCTGTGTCCCAAGGTATTTCACTTAGGATGTGTGTGTGTGTGTGTGTGTGTACTCACCTAATTGTGCTTGCGGGGGTTGAGCTCTGGCTCTTTGGTCCCGCCTCTCAACCGTCAATCAACAGGTGTACAGGTTCCTGAGCCTATTGGGCTCTATCATATCTACACTTGAAACTGTGTATGGAGTCAGCCTCCACCACATCACTTCCTAATGCATTCCATTTGTCAACCACTCTGACACTAAAAAAGTTCTTTCTAATATCTCTGTGGCTCATTTGGGCACTCAGTTTCCACCTGTGTCCCCTAGTGTCTGTGCCCCTTGTGTTAAATAACCTGTCTTTATCTACCCTATCAATTCCCTTCAGAATCTTGGATGTGGTGATCATGTCCCCCCTAACTCTTCTGTCTTCCATGGAAGTGAGGTTTAATTCCCGTAGTCTCTCCTCGTTTCTCATACCTCTCAGCTCGGGTACTAGTCTGGTGGTAAACCTTTGAATCTTTTCCAGTTTAGTCTTATACTTGACTAGATATGGACTCCATGTGTGTGTGTGTGTGTGTGTCTATATTTTATCTATCGGGCCAACTGCTTTCCATCCGCAGGATGCGCTCCCACTTAGTGTCTATCTCTCACTCTTTCTCTGTCTCTGTCTCTCTCCAATCTTTCTCTGTGTGTCTCTACCTTAGCTGTGGGAGTGTTCAGGGTACACCTCTACCTTCATATAGAGGCCCTTGTTAGAGGTCCTCCTGTGAGCTATGCAACCTTTCCCCCGAATAGACAGTACGTTTTAATGCTAAATGTAATAAGTACATTCATGACTGTCTACATAGTACATAAATACACTTAATTGTACTGTTACATTTACCTCCCCATATATTCTCCTCATTTTCTGATAAAAACACTAAAAATTTTTAGGTTGAAGTTCTCGTGTTCAATTATATATATATATATATATATATATATATATATATATATATATATATATATATATATATATATATATATATATATATATATATATATTATTAAATATGACCGAAAAAGTAAGATTAATAATTCTAACACGAATTTTCTCAATCTTTCGTACATTACGCTTCACTGTTGGAGGTAAATTAAAAATCAATTCTCCAAAATTCATTTTTATTTCTAGTCTGACGCGACACGGGCGCGTTTCGTAAAACTTATTACATTTTCAAAGACTTTAGTTCACAAATACACAACTGAATAGAACTTACGTATCTCCGATTTTATATCTACATTTGAGTGAGGTGGAAGGGGTGATGTGGCATTAACACAAGACAAAACAAAATGTGGTATTAATAGGGTATTAATTTCATCAACACAAGACAGAACAAGGGTATTAATAGGGTATTAATTTCATCAACACAAGACAGAACACGAAACAATGGATATTGAATAGAAGTGTTTATAGAAAGCCTATTGGTCCATATTTCTTGATGCTTCTATATTGGAGCGGAGTCTTGAGGTGGGTAGAATATAGTTGTGCAATAATTGGCTGTTGATTGCTGGTGTTGATTTCTTGATGTGTAGTGCCTCGCAAACGTCAAGCCGCCTGCTATCGCTGTATCTATCGATGATTTCTGTGTTGTTTACTAGGATTTCTCTGGCGATGGTTTGGTTGTGGGAAGAGATTATATGTTCCTTAATGGAGCCCTGTTGCTTATGTATCGTTAAACACCTAGAAAGAGATGTTGTTGTCTTGCCTATATACTGGGTTTTTTGGAGCTTACAGTCCCCAAGTGGGCATTTGAAGGCATAGACGACGTTAGTCTCTTTTAAAGCGTTCTGTTTTGTGTCTGGAGAGTTTCTCATGAGTAGGCTGGCCGTTTTTCTGGTTTTATAGTAAATCGTCAGTTGTATCCTCTGATTTTTGTCTGTAGGGATAACGTTTCTATTAACAATATCTTTCAGGACCCTTTCCTAACGTTTTATGAGCTGTGGAAAAGAAGTTCCTGTAAAATAGTCTAATAGGGGGTATAGGTGTTGTGTTAGTTGTCTCTTCAGAGGTTGCATGGCTTTTCACTTTTTTTACTATAAAACCAGAAAAACGGCCAGCCTACTCATGAGAAACTCTCCAGACACAAAACAGAACGCTTTAAAAGAGACTAACGTCGTCTATGCCTTCAAATGCCCACTTGGGGACTGTAAGCTCCAAAAAACCCAGTATATAGGCAAGACAACAACATCTCTTTCTAGGCGTTTAACGATGCATAAGCAACAGGGCTCCATTAAGGAACATATAATCTCTTCCCACAACCAAACCATCGCCAGAGAAATCCTAGTAAACAACACAGAAATCATCGATAGATACAGCGATAGCAGGCGGCTTGACGTTTGCGAGGCACTACACATCAAGAAGTCAACACCAGCAATCAACAGCCAATTATTGCACAACTATATTCTACCCACCTCAAGACTCCGCTCCAATATAGAAGCATCAAGAAATATGGACCAATAGGCTTTCTACAAACACTTCTATTCAATATCCATTGTTTCGTGTTCTGTCTTGCGTTGATGAAATTAATACCCTATTAATACCCTTGTTCTGTCTTGTGTTGATGAAATTAATACCCTATTAATACCACATTTTGTTCTGTCGTGTGTTAATGCCACATCACCCCTTCCACCTCACTCAAATGTAGATATAAAATCGGAGATACGTAAGTTCTATTCAGTTGTGTATTTGTGAACTAAAGTCTTTGAAAATGTAATAAGTTTTACGAAACGCGCCCGTGTCGCGTCAGACTAGAAATAAAAATGAATTTTGGAGAATTGATTTTTAATTTACCTCCAACAGTGAAGCGTAATGTACGAAAGATTGAGAAAATTCGTGTTAGAATTATTAATCTTACTTTTTCGGTCATATTTAATAATATATGTCTACAGGAAAGACTGCTACCAAAATATACTATATATATATATATATATATATATATGTCGTACCTAGTAGCCAGAACGCACTTCTCGGCCTACTATGCAAGGCCCAATTTGCCTAATAAGCCAAGTTTTCCTAAATTTATATATTTTCTCTAATTTTTTTCTTATGAAATGATAAAACTACCCATTTCATTACGTATGAGGTCAATTTTTTTTTATTGGAGTTAAAATTAATGTAGATATAGGACCGAACCTAACCAACCCTACCTAACCTAACCTAACCTATCCTTATTGGTTAGGTTAGGTTAGGTACATGAAAAAGTTAGGTTAGGTAGTCGAAAAACAATTAATTCATGAAAACTTGGCTTATTAGGCAAATTGGGCCTTGCAAAGTAGGCTGAGAAGTGCGTTCTGGCTACTAGGTACGACATATATATATATATATATATATATATATATATATATATATATATATATATATATATATATATATATATATATATATATATATATATATATATATATATATATATGTCGTACCTAGTAGCCAGAACGCACTTCTCAGCCTACTATGCAAGGCCCGATTTGCCTAATAAGCCAAGTTTTCCTGAATTAATATATTTTCTCTAATTTTTTTCTTATGAAATGATAAAGCTACCCATTTCATTATATATGAGATCAATTTTTTTTATTGGAGTTAAAATTAACGTAGATATATGACCAAACCTAACCAACCCTACCTATCCTAACCTAACCTATCTTTATAGGTTAGGTTAGGTTAGGTAGCAGAAAAAGTTAGGTTAGGTTAGGTTAGGTAGTCGAAAAATAATTAATTCATAAAAACTTGGCTTATTAGGCAAATTGGGCCATGCATAGTAGGCTGAGAAGTGCGTTCTGGCAACTAGGTACGACATATATATATATATATATATATATATATATATATATATATATATATATATATATATATATATATATATATATATATATATATATATATATATATATATATATATATATATATATATATATATATATATATATATATATATATCAGTTTTATTAAACAATAGAGATTTTATACAAAATTTGAAAATATCCTGAGTTACTTTATAATTTATTGACAGACTTTACTTTTGTTTAATTAGTTTTATAAAACTGTAATATCAATATAGCTATAGGTTAAGTACTAATTATAATTAAGAAGCAATAAATGTAATTGACATGCTTGTCCTCCTACACTCCCAAGGTTAGGTTAGGTCGTGGTTTTCTATACAGATTTTCAGGTAAACTCCAATATTCACAATATTTTGGTGCGGTGCTGCCAATTAAGTTTATTTATGTACTATGCCGATAGTCAGGATTGTACTTATTACATTTAGTATTAAAACTTACTGTCTATTCGGAGGATGGGTTGGAGCTACGAGAGGGACTCATTTTTCCGTTGTGACAGAAGTAACGCTCAGTGTCATTTACAGGCTGAGGACCACGGCGCACACGCTGAAGATTCTGGACGTTAGCAGGTCCTGGACGTTAGCAGGTCTTGGACGTTAGCAGGTCTTGGACGTTAGCAGGTCTTGAACGTTAGCAGGTCCTGGACGTTAGCAGGTCCTGGACGTTAGCAGGTCCTGGACGTTAGCAGAAGTCCCTGGACGTAAGCAGAATGCCCTGGGCGTAAGCAGAAGGTCCCGGAGGTACGCAGAATGTCCTGGACGTAAGCAGAATGTCCCGGACGTACGCAGAAGGTCCCGGACGTACGCAGAAGATCCTGGGCGTAAGCACATAGTCCTGGACGTAAGCACAAGGTCCTGGACGTAAGCACAAGGTCCTGGACTTAAGCACAAGGTCCTGGACCTAAGCACAAGGTCCTGGACGTAAGCAGAAGGTCCCGGACGTAAGCAGAATGTCCTGGACGTAAGCAGAATGTCCTGGACGTAAGCAGAATGTCCTGGACGTAAGCAGAAAGTCCTGGACGTAACAGCAGTAGCTTAAGTCATGCTCACAAGATAGTGTCTGCAACTTCCACACTGCCAAATGCTCCCAAACACATAGTGGAGAGGAAGTGCCACCGTGCCATCCACAGCAGCCCCACAGCACACTGACACAGCAGGCCCACAGCACCCTGACACAGCAGGCCCACAGCACCCTGACACAGCAGGCCCACAGCACCCTGACACAGCAGGCCCACAGCACACTGACACAGCAGGCCCACAACACTGACACAGCAGGCCCACAGCACACTGACACAGCAGGCCCACAGCACCCTGACACAGCAGGCCCACAACACTGACACAGCAGGCCCACAACACACTGACACAGCAGACCCACAGCACCTTGACACAGCAGGCTCACAACACACTGACTCAGCAGACCCACAGCACCCTGACACAGCAGGCCCACAGCACCCTGACACAGCAGGCCCACAACACTGACACAGCAGGCCCACAACACTGACACAGCAGGCCCACAGCACCCTGACACAGCAGGCCCACAACACTGACACAGCAGACCCACAACACTGACACAGCAGGTCCACAACACTGACACAGCAGGCCCACAACACTGACACAGCAGACCCACAACACTGACACAGCAGGCCCACAGCACCCTGACACAGCAGGCCCACAGCACCCTGACACAGCAGGCCCACAGCACCTTGACACAGCAGGCCCACAGCACCCTGACACAGCAGGCCCACAGCACACTGACACAGCAGACCCACAACACTGACACAGCAGGCCCACAGCACCCTGATACAGCAGGCCCACAACACTGACACAGCAGGCCCACAACACTGACACAGCAGACCCACAACACTGACACAGCAGGCCCACAACACTGACACAGCAGGCCCACAGCACCCTGACACAGCAGGCCCACAGCACCCTGACACAGCAGGCCCACAGCACCTTGACACAGCAGGCCCACAGCACCCTGACACAGCAGGCCCACAGCACACTGACACAGCAGACCCACAACACTGACACAGCAGGCCCACAGCACACTGACACAGCAGGCCCACAACACTGACACAGCAGACCCACAACACTGACACAGCAGGCCCACAGCACCCTGACACAGCAGGCCCACAGCACACTGACACAGCAGGCCCACAGCCCTCACAACATGAGTGTTGACCGCCACTCAGGAATGAGAGTGCGTGAGTGGCGACCATGGGTGCGCTATGGACCGGTGGAGAGTGACGCACGAACTCGCACGCGCGCCCAGGAAGCCTCGAACCATTCCCACGATGCTGGTCAACCGGAAGCCCAAGACCTGACCCGGGCTGACTGTGGCCAGCGGCCGGCCAGCGTCCCCGACGGTGGCTGGGGCTGGCTGGTGGTGGCTGGCAGCTTCCTCATTATGGTGAGTACTGTTTGGGGCTACTGTGTCCATCATGGTGAGTACTGTGTGGGGCTACTGTGTCCATCATGGTGAGTACTGTGTGGGGGGCTACTGTGTCCATCATGGTGAGTACTGTGTGGGGGGCTACTGTGACCATCATGGTGAGTACTGTGTGGGGCTACTGTGTCCATCATGGTGAGTACTGTGTGGGGCTACTGTGTCCATCATGGTGAGTACTGTGTGGGGCTACTGTGTCCATCATGGTGAGTACTGTGTGGGGCTACTGTGACCATCATGGTGAGTACTGTGTGGGGGCTACTGTGTCCATCATGGTGAGTACTGTGACCATCATGGTGAGTACTGTGTGGGGGCTACTGTGTCCATCATGGTGAGTACTGTGACCATCATGGTGAGTACTGTGTGGGGCTACTGTGTCCATCATGGTGAGTACTGTGTCCATCATGGTGAGTACTGTGTCCATCATGGTGAGTACTGTGTCCATCATGGTGAGTACTGTGACCATCATGGTGAGTACTGTGTGGGGCTACTGTGTCCATCATGGTGAGTACTGTGTCCATCATGGTGAGTACTGTGTCCATCATGGTGAGTACTGTGTCCATCATGGTGAGTACTGTGACCATCATGGTGAGTACTGTGTGGGGCTACTGTGTCCATCATGGTGAGTACTGTGTCCATCATGGTGAGTACTGTGTCCATCATGGTGAGTACTGTGTCCATCATGGTGAGTACTGTGTCCATCATGGTGAGTACTGTGTCCATCATGGTGAGTACTGTGTCCATCATGGTGAGTACTGTGTCCATCATGGTGAGTACTGTGTCCATCATGGAGAGTACTATGTGGAGCTACTGTGTCCATTATGGTGAGTACTGTGTGGGAGACTACTGTGTCCATCATGGTGAGTACTGTGTCCATCATAGTGAGTACTGTGTGGGGGACTACTGTGTCCATCATAGTGAGTACTGTGTGGGGGACTACTGTGTCCATCATGGTGAGTACTATGTGGGGCTACTGTGTCCATTATGGTGAGTACTGTGTGGGAGACTACTGTGTCCATCATGGTGAGTACTGTGTCCATCATAGTGAGTACTGTGTGGGGGACTACTGTGTCCATCATGGTGAGTACTGTGTCCATCATAGTGAGTACTGTGTGGGGGACTACTGTGTCCATCATGGTGAGTACTGTGTGGGGCTACTGTGTCCATCATGGTGAGTACTGTGTTGGGCTACTGTGTCCATCATGGTGAGTACTGTGGGGGACACTACTGTGTCCATCATGGTGAGTACTGTGTGGGAGACTACTGTGTCCATCATGGTGAGTACTGTGTGGGAGACTACTGTGTCCATCATGGTGAGTACTGTGTCCATCATGGTGAGTACTGTGTGGGGCTACTGTGTCCATTATGGTGAGTACTGTGTCCATCATGGTGAGTACTGTGTCCATTATGGTGAGTACTCTGTGGGGCTACTGTGTCCATTATGGTGAGTACTGTGTCCATCATGGTGAGTACTGTGTGGGGCTACTGTGTCCATCATGTGGACAATAAGGTCACCTGCTGCAGGAGGACAACAAGGTCACTTGCTGCAGGAGGGACCACAAGGTCACTTGCTGCAGGAGGACAACAAGGTCACCTGCTGCAAGAGGACAACAAGGTCACTTGCTGCAGGAGGACAATAAGGTCACCTGCTGCAGGAGGACAACAAGGTCACCTGCTGCAGGAGGGACCACAAGGTCACTTGCTGCAGGAGGGACCACAAGGTCACTTGCTGCAGGAGAACAACAAGGTCACTTGCTGCAGGAGGACAACAAGGTCACCTGCTGCAGGAGGGACCACAAGGTCACTTGCTGCAGGAGGGACCACAAGGTCACTTGCTGCAGGAGGACAACAAGGTCACCTGCTGCAGGAGGGACACCAAGGTCACCTGCTGCAGGAGGGACCACAAGGTCACTTGCTGCAGGAGGGACCACAAGGTCACTTGCTGCAGGAGGACAACAAGGACACCTGCTGCAGGAGGGACCACAAGGTCACTTGCTGCAGGAGGGACCACAAGGTCACTTGCTGCAGGAGGACAACAAGGTCACCTGCTGCAGGAGGGACACCAAGGTCACTTGCTGCAGGAGGACAATAAGGTCACCTGCTGCAGGAGGACAACAAGGTCACCTGCTGCAGGAGGACAACAAGGTCACCTGCTGCAGGAGGGACCACAAGGTCACTTGCTGCAGGAGGGACCACAAGGTCACTTGCTGCAGGAGGACAACAAGGTCACCTGCTGCAGGAGGGACACCAAGGTCACTTGCTGCAGGAGGACAATAAGGTCACCTGCTGCAGGAGGACAACAAGGTCACCTGCTGCAGGAGGACAATAAGGTCACCTGCTGCAGGAGGACAACAAGGTCACCTGCTGCATCAGGGACAACAAGGTCACCTGCTGCAGGAGGACAACAAGGTCACCTGCTGCAGGAGGGACCACAAGGTCACCTGCTGCAGGAGGACAACAAGGTCACCTGCTGCAGGAGGGACCACAAGGTCACTTGCTGCAGGAGGACAACAAGGTCACCTGCTGCAGGAGGGACCACAAGGTCACTTGCTGCAGGAGGACAAAGTTATACACGAGTAATACAGAGACAACGTAGTCAAAATTTCACCAATGACTTGAGGAAGCTGTCCTGCCTCAGCTTTCATTAGCTGGTCATCCATTCAGTAAGCTCGTCTGCTGACCCTACTGTCTGCTGACCCTGCTGACTGCTGACCCTGCTGTCTGCTGTCCCGGCTATCTGCTGCATAATTTCTTTCAGCTATTTTTTCTTTTTCTTTCTCGATAAATTATTGTCCTCAATTAACTAAGCCATTCTTGGCTCATTTGGTAAATGTTTTGTTAAATATTAAATTTACTTGCTGAAGCTGACCTTGTGTTTGGGTGTGAAGATGTTGGTGCCGCTGCTGGGTCCCTGCTTCGGGGTGCTGTTCTCCCGCTTCCTGCTGCAGGAGGGCAGCTCCTCCACCACCACCGCCTGGATCTTCAACGTCCAGTGCTTCGTCTGGAACATGATGGGCCTCGTCGTCAGGCCGCTGGCCAAGGAGTTCGGGTGGAGGAACATCGCCATCAAGGGCGTCCTCCTCACATCCGTCTCAGTCATCATGTCAGCCTTCACGCCCTCAGCGGAGTTCCTCTTCTTCTCCTTCTCCCTGCTGAGTGGTAAGTTCCCTGTTGAGTGGTAAGTTCCCTGCTGAGTGGTAAGTTCCCTGCTGAGTGGTAAGTTCCCTGTTGAGTGGTAAGTTCCCTGCTGAGTGGTAAGTTCCCTGCTGAGTGGTAATTTCCCTGCTGAGTGGTAAGTTCCCTGTTGAGTGGTAAGTTCCCTGCTGAGTGGTAAGTTCCCTGCTGAGTGGTAAGTTCCCTGTTGAGTGGTAAGTTCCCTGAGTTCCCTGCTGAGTGGTAAGTTCCCTGCTGAGTGGTAATTTCCCTGCTGAGTGGTAAGTTCCCTGTTGAGTGGTAAGTTCCCTGCTGAGTGGTAAGTTCCCTGCTGAGTGGTAAGTTCCCTGCTGAGTGATAAGTTCCCTGCTGAGTGATAAGTTCCCTGCTGAGTGGTAAGTTCCCTGTTAAGTGGTAAGTTCCCTGCTGAGTGGTAAGTTCCCTGTTGAGTGGTAAGTTCCCTGCTGAGTGGTAAGTTCCCTGCTGAGTGGTAAGTTCCCTGCTGAGTGATAAGTTCCCTGCTGAGTGATAAGTTCCCTGCTGAGTGGTAAGTTCCCTGCTGAGTGGTAAGTTCCCTGTTGAGTGGTAAGTTCCCTGCTGAGTGGTAAGTTCCCTGCTGAGTGGTAAGTTCCCTGCTGAGTGGTAAGTTCCCTGCTGAGTGGTAAGTTCCCTGCTGAGTGGTAAGTTAGGTTCCTTCTCCCTGCTGAGTGGTAAAGATATGTTCCCTACACCATGGGAGGGTCCCACACTACACCGTGGGAGTGTGACCCTCTCCCTACACCATGGGAGGGTCCCTCACTACACCATGGGAGTGTGTACTCCTTAAGGATAATTATACTAACCCAGAACGAGCTGTCACACTTTTAGTTAAAACATTGTTGGACTTACCATCCACAGACGGATCATCTGACTCACTCCAAGCCTTTAGATTAGAGCTTGAGTCATTACTCAAAACACTCAAATTTAAGATCGATCTAAATGGAGCAGACTGGTTAAAAGAAAAGTTATTGTAAGACGCAAATTAATCAGTGAAACACTGGATAAGTTGTGTACCATGCTTAACAAAGCTTCCCTGACGGTTCAGGAGATTACAAAAGGTTAACGCTCTGTTATAGAACGACAGAGAGCAAACACAGATGGTAAATCAACATCTAAATCTTCGTTAACCACCCACTGTATATCACAGAGTACACACAGTACTCCAAATAAACCTTCTACCTCCACTCCAAGGTGGAAGCAAGGCAGAGTGGGAACATATGCAGTGGGTCCTTTCAAACCTACCGTTACTGTATCACCCAAGGCAGTGGCTCCTGAAGGTTCTGTAAAATGGATGACGTGTTTATTCTTTGATGAAGAACATTCCATATAACACTGTACTACTAACCCTGATCGTGCTACACGTGTAAAACAACTCAAGGAGTTGCATAAATGCACTAAGTGTATAAGGTCACATAACCCCATTACCTGTGTAACCCAAATATTCACCTGCAATAGGTGCAATAAGAGTCAATACCATGCAGCTCTCTGTGGGGACACAAGACCAAGGTCTCCCTAACCCCAGGTGCAGGGAGAAACTTCCACTACAATACAGTTGTGTAAAGTACGTCAGGATGTAAGAATTCTTTCAACAAAGTCTGATAATAACACAGCTTTACCCATTGCTGAACTACTCATCAAAAACAGAAGGTCCAAGGTAACCACTCGTGGGTTATTTGACCAAGGATCCCAAAAGACATTTGTCACACAGAAAGTGGCAGACACCTTAAAACTAAAACCCGTTCGACAGGTGAAACTAGACATATCAAGATTCCTGACCAACTCAGGAACCCAAGTGTATAAAGTGGTCCAACTATTAATATGTTTAGGTAGTTATGCCCAAATGGTACAGGCCATTGTGGTAGACAAAATCCCATCTGTCCTTTATGTTTATGGTCTAGGTCCAACAGCCAAATTCCTACAGGGAAAGGGAATTAATTTGGCTGATAACAATATAACATCTGATCACCTCTCAAACATGGGATTCCTCGTAGGTGCCGACTATTACCATAAATTCATCACTGGAAGTACAAAACGGCAGGGAATGAACCTGTTATTGTCTGTGGGAGGCAATTTGCTCACTGGCCCAGTATAGAGTCTGAAGCAGCCCACACCTGTAGACAACCAACAAGTCAACCCAGTGAAGGTTGCATGACTAGGTGAAGAACAGTCACCACTCAAATTCATAGATATGTCTGAAGATGAGCCTGATCCCTCAGTACATAAATTATGGGATCTAGCCACCTTAGAGATAGTCCCATAACAACTTAGTCCAGATGGTGACTGGACTTACAAACAATACCTGGACTCAGTTATCTACAGGGACAACCAATACTGAGTCAGGGTACCATGGAAGCTGAATCATCTTCAGCTGCCAGTAAACCATTTCATGGTACAAAACCAATTAAGGTCTCAGGTGATGTGCTTAAATAGACAACCTGAATACTTGAAATTGTACCATGGTATAATCCAATAACAACTCGATAACAAATTCATCGAGGTTGTAACTAATGATGACCCTAAGGAAGGACATTATTTGACGCACCATCCAGTACTGAAAAATTCAGCTACTACCCCACTAAGTCTGGTATTTAACTGCAATGTCAAAACCAGGCAGAATAGTGTCTCATTGAATGATTGCCTTCAAACTGGCCCTATCCTGACACAAAGGCTGTATGAAGTGCTGTTAAAATCCCATATAGGGACTTGTGTACACACGACTGATATAAGTAAGGCATTCCATAGGGTAGGTCTCCAAGAAGAAGACCGTACCTACACAAAGTTCCTATGGATCAAAGATCTTAATGATCCAAACAGTGAATTGATTGCATACAGGTTTGCTTGAGTTTTGTTTGAAGCTACTTCTTCACCGTTTGAGCTTAGAGCAACCTTAGGCATGCACTTGAAAGAGTCAAATTGCCCAAATAAAACTGAAATTAGCAACAACCTGTATGCAGACAATTTCCAAGGAACAACCAGCAGTGAAGAAAGGCTGCTGAATATATACCAAGAGGCCACACGAGAGTTGTTGGGAGCAAATATGCCTCTCAAGTCGTGGGTCTCCAATAATTCCAATTTAATTAAAACAACTGACCAAAGCAGAATTTCCCAATTACAAAGTTCCCCAGAAGACAAAGGAACTAGGTGTCGAACGGAATACAACTTCGAATCAGTTGACCATCATAACGGTGGAACCAGGTACCACCAATCTAATAATGAGGAAACTACTATCCCAAGTCAGCAAACTCTTCATCCCCATGGGACTATTAAGTTCCATATTAATAAATGGGAAGTTGATAATGCAGCAGTGCTGGCAACAGAAGATAGACTGGGATGGTCCACTAACACCGGCCTTGCAAGAAAAGTGGTAGGGGCTAGTGAAGGATCTTCAGTCTCCGTGGTGTAGTGGTAAGACACTCGCCTGGCGTTCCGCGAGCGCTATGTCATGGGTTCGTATCCTGGCCGGGGAGGATTTACTGGGCGCATTCCTTAACTGTAGCCTCTGTTTAACGCAACAGTAAAATGTGTACTTGGATGAAAAAAAAACGATTCTTCGCGGCAGGGGATCGTATTCCAGGGACCATAGGATTAAGGACTTGCCCGAAACGCTACGCGTACTAGTGGCTGTACAAGAATGTAACAACTCTTGTATATATCTCAAAAAAAAAAAAAAAAGTATCCTAGAGTCTGTCAAGTTCCCTCTGAACATAGTACATCAGATTCGACCAATTAAGCTACATGTTCTGTGATGCCTCAGGAAAGACTTATGGCAGAGTAGCCTACCTAATATCAGATGAGCAAGCCAAAATGCTCACAGCAAAGGCCAGGGTGGCACCATTGAAAAAACGGTCATTGCCCCAACTGGAGTTAACAGCCCAACTGCTAGAAGTAAGATTGGCTCATTATCTGATCAATGTCTTAAGTAACATCCACATTGAAGAAGTGGTATGGTAAGATAATGAGGCAGTACTACAATGGGTGAGAAATATCAACAGTAAAATTCTTTACATGAGTAACCTCTTAAAGAAAATCCGAGAGTTATCAGCAGGGTACAAACTGAGATATGTACCCACCAAAGAGAATCCAGCTGATTATCTGTCTAGAGGTCTAACTTTACAGCAATTAACAAAAGCAGAGATGTGGTTCAATGGACCTCAGTGGCTAGTCAGTGACCAGTGGCCTGAAGAAAAGCCACAAGTCATTGTGACTAATATCACTGCTCCCACTGAGAATCCAGAATCACCTTAGACTTTGGTAATTGATCCTAATCGGTACTCTGAACTTGTTACGGTATCGATACCATCGCTGGAGTATGGAGTGGCGATTTCAGCTCCATCTATGGATCTGCACTCTAACTCCCTAGTATTGGGTGCTACGCAGACAACGCCAACTATTGGTGGTGGCGTGGTATCAGTAAAAGGCTCCGGTTTCCTGCCTCGGTTAGAAGAGGAGGTCGATGATGATCACCTCTGGTGGGTGGCATATCGAGATCAACGCCATCTAGGTTGTGGCTACAAGTTACAATTTTACTTCCCAGGTGGGTGGGCGTTATCCTACGGGCACCCAGTGTACTGTCCGACAAGTTAATGACGTTTTGTATTCATAGAGGTGAAGTAAGCAGCCGATTGTGCTAACGAGGGCAGTTCAAGAACTCTTGACCTGGTCCTGTGAGAGGACGAAGTGGCTGCCATCGGTTATTGCAGTGTGTTAGCTGCTGGTTTATGCAGTGTTGAATGGGCTGATGTACCCGGGAATTGTCCAGGAAGAGCTACGCGACAGCTGTGTTGCGTCTGTTGAGAAGTGCTGCTAACGAGCTGCTAGAGACTTCTGCCAGGGTGTTAGCTACCTATGTATGCGATTCTTTGAGACCCCTGTCAGCGTCTTGCTGAAACCCTCTGCCAGTGTGTATCTGGAGAGCAGAGGTGGGGTATTGGCACATCGTGAAGATACAGTGTCATGGACTGGCCCATGTTGTAGAAGGTGAACTCGCCGGTGTTTGCCATTAGGCGTGGACGACGTGTACCTGGAAAGTGGATTCACCGGTATTAATAAACACTGCCGATGTATTGTCCAGAGTGAAAGAGACACTTTGTAAATATGTGTAGTAATACTTTAATATATTATATATAGTGGTGAAAGTGCTAATATATTGGTGAAGGTGTGATAGTGTATTGTTTATCCCCCCTTTTATTCTTTACACTAATACCTTACAGCCAGTTCTTAACAGCTTACCACCGACTTAGGGTTGGAGATAGAGGAGGTTATAACAGCAAGAAACCGGTTACTGGCCCAAAGTGGCCATAACAGAACTGAACGAACTACTAGGTGTCACACAAGTGGTGTTTGACTTCCTAAAGAATATGAGAATCAACTGTCCTTTCCCTAGTCCCCCAAAGTACTGGGTCAAAAGAGCCGAAACAGATATATACAGGATGGATTTTGAAAAGCTCCTTAATAAAATACTGAATGATATGGGTCTCTGGTTTGACCCGAACAGTTATAATAAGGTGTAGGGCCACTTAAAGCATGCCAACACAGACCAGGAAGAAAAAAATAACCGACACCACATAGTAAGTTAGCTAATTATGTTAAACATACACAAAAACAGCACTCTGTTGGGGGGGGGGGGTACTAGATACCCTCACCGATCTAAGATAACAGTTCTGGCTTCCTCAAGGTCGCCAAACTTTAAAATCTATAATAAAATCCTGTGTAATCTGTTGAAGGTACGACGCTCAGAAGAACTTCGGAAACCCTCTCCAGGTATTTCCAGTTATGCTCTCCAGATGATTAGAGGTGTGTGGCTAAGGTTCTTTACATCTTATTTTTTGTCAAACCGTTTATTTTGTTTGAGTGATGTGTTTACTTGAGTTATCCTTGCAGGTGTGGGCGGGGGCGTGGTTGTGTGCATGTGCTTCATCATAGTCCCTATGTACTTTGACCGCCGGCGAGGGCTGGCCAACGCTGTCATGATGGCTGGGGTGTGCACGGGGCAGATCGTGGGTCCGCCCTTCGTCCGTCTCCTGCAGGACGTGTACACCTTCAAGGGCGCCACTCTCATCCTCGGTGCTCTCATGCTCAATGCTCTCGTCGGTGCAGCATTTTTCCACCCGGTAGAGTGGCACATGAGGCCGGCGTGTGACGGTACTGGTGAGTGGCTGAGTGGTGGAACAAGTCTTACATTACCAGAAGTCATTGTTAAAAAGAAGGAAGTTATAGACACAGCAGGGAAGGGCTCTTGCCAGTCACCGTGCAGTGAGAGAGGTGTGGAGGCACCACCAGTGGACGCCAAGGTGAGAGAGGGGATTGAAGCACCACCAGTGGAAGCCACAGCCCTCTCACTCCCCTCGCTCAATAAAACTGGCATCACTACCGCACTCCAGAACCGATCACAGATGACTAGTGTGGATCACGAGGAAGGGAAGCAGCGGACAGGCTTGGGGGAGCTGGCACTGCGTGTAGCCCACAACATCCTAAGTGATTTGAGAATATTCCGTTCACCGCGAGCGGTGATTATTTCCCTCGGGTGTACATTCTTCATCAATGGCTACTATAACTTTATAATGATGGTTCCCTTCGCAATGCTAAGAGCCGGCCACACGCTGGAGGATGCGGCCTGGTGCATATCAGTGTCAGCGGGCTGTAATCTCTTGTGCAGGATACTGATGTCTGCGCTCTCAGACTCCCCAAGGTTCAACATGAGGGCTGCCTACATGGCCGGCCTCGCTGCTACTGCTGCCGCTATTTTCAGTAAGACATATTTGTTTATACGACTTGTTCTTATAATGGTTCGTCTGTCTTACATGCAAATAAATATATATATATATATATATATATATATATATATATATATATATATATATATATATATATATATATATATATATATATATATATATATATATATATATATATATATATATATATATATATATATATATATTATTAAATATAACCAAAAAAGTAAGATTAATAATTCTAACACGAATTTTCTCGATCTTTCTTACGTTTCTTTTCACTGTTGATTGTAATTCAAAGATCAATTCTCCAAAATTCATTTTTATTTCTAGTTTGACGCGACACTTGAGCGCGTTTCATAAAACTTATTACATTTTCAAAGACTTTAGTTTACACAAACACACACAACTTTAACTGAATAGAGCTTAAACATCTTTCGAGTTTTTATACCTACATTTGGGTGAAGTGAGATGTTACAATAGTTTTGGATGAGGTGAAAATGTACTCACAAAATGTACGGTATGGTAAACAACACAGCTCAATTCCAATGCAATGTCACACAAAATAATTAAATCAAAATGAAAATAAATCAAAATCTATGAAAATTCAATTTGTCAATGCAATTGGAAACATTGAAATTGAATCGTAACATATATAGTATAGCATGCATCATCTGTTGCTCTTACGTGCAACAGATGATGCTGTTTTGAAAAAAAAGAATGTTTTTACCTGTCACAGGTGTGGCATCTATACTTATACTTACGAAATTAATGGTATGGTAAACAACATAACTGAATTCCAACACAATGTCACAAAATAATTTAATGAAAATGAAAATATATCGAATTCTGTGATAATTTAATTTATCAATGCAATCAGAAACATTGAAACGGAATCGTAACATATTTAGTATAGCATGGGTTGTTATTATATGCAACAGATGGTGCTATTTAAAAAAAAAAAATGTTTTTACCTGTCACAGGTGTGGCATCTATATAGTAAGTATATAAAACACGTGCACATTCGAATGAAATGTTGTATCAAAATTTCAAAGCAATCAGTGAAGAACTTTTGGAGATTACAGCATATGTTGCTCTTATATCAAACAGATGGCTCTGTTTTTCAAAAAGTATGTTTTTTTTTCCTTTCACAGGTGAGGCATGTATATAGTAGATATATATAAACACGCACCTATTCGAATGCAACGTTGTGTCAAAATTTCAAAGCAATCAGTAAAGAGGTTTTGAAGATTTCCCCTCACATGAAAAACACATGTAAAACACAGTTAAATAAAAAAAAATGTGTTTCACTGTCACAGACGTGACATCTATATAGTACTTATTTATTTATTTTTATTTATTTATATACAAGAAGGTACATTGGGTTTGTGAGAATACATAGCATAGTACAGTATTTACAATCTTGTAAAGCCACTAGCACGCGCAGCGTTTCGGGCAGGTCCTTAATGTAACAGATAATTTTAAATAGGTAAATTCTATCAGAATTAATAAAATGATAACAAATACATTGCAAGAAAAAAATGAGATGAGAGAGATTAGTAAGTATATTAAAGCACATTGGTATATTAAAGCTCTGATTGATTACATTGACAGCTTGATTGGTAATTTAAACAAGATTAATAGACACCATACAGCAGATTGACAGCACATATAAGAAGACAGCAATGATCACAATGATAAAGATGTTCAGATTGGGTACACAAAGATTGGGAGATTGGGTAGTAATAGATACAGTGCAATTTTAAAGCAAAAGGTAAAAATTATGAAGATGAAATTAGGTACTTTTTAGTATTGTTTTTGAATGACGCAAAAGTTGGACAGCTTTTCAATTCAATAGGGAGTGAGTTCCATAGACTGGGTCCCTTTATTTGCATAGAGTGTTTACACAGATTAAGTTTGACTCTGGGGATATCAAAGAGATATTTATTTCTGGTGTGGTGATAATGGGTCCTATTACATCTGTCCAGGGAGAGTTTCAGAGCAGGATTTGCATTTAAGAACAGGGTTTTGTAAATGTAGTTGACACAAAAGAATGTGTGGAGTGAGATTATGTTTAGCATGTTTAGGGAGTTAAACAAGGGGGCTGTGTGTTGTCTGAAAGCAGAATTTCTTATTATTCTGATAGCAGATTTTTGCTGGGTGATGATGGACTTGAGGTGGTTTGCAGTGGTTGAACCCCATGCACAGATACCATAATTAAGATAGGGATAGATTAGTGCATAATATAGAGAGATGAGAGCAGAGGTAGGTACGTATATACGTACGAGTTAGGTAGGTATGACGGTAGGTACGTATAGGTAGGATAGGTAGGAACGTATATAGGTACGAGTTAGTATGTATATAAAAACCCGCTCGGATGCGAATGGAACGTTGTGTGAAAATTTTAAAGCACTCAGTGAAGAACTTTTGGAGATTAGCAATTTTGAACATACGAACATTTATATTTTTATTTATATACATATATTTTGAATTTAATTTATAATTTTTAGTTTAATTATTCATATTGAACTATAATTCTAAGTGGACTGTATTTTAAATTCAGCCAGCCAGATTACACCTGAACACATAGTGGGGGGGGGGGGTATAAATGTACACAGCTTATCCCATAATTGTTGGTGATAAATAATCCATATACATATACTGTCAGATTTATATAAATTCTACCACATATGGTGGTATTGAATAAACTATAGTATTTGTTAGTACTACAGTGTTATAATTATATTAGTATAACTTAAAAGGAGAGCTTCAGCTGATGTGGTTGAATGAGAGCTAGAGCTCTAATCTCAGAGTTTGTTATGCCATAAGTGGTCGAGGTCCTGGGCCTGTAAAATGGCAGCTCTCTTAATGGCGTTTGTGGGGCAGCCAGAACATGGAAGCATCACAGGTTATGTAGGTGGCCAGCACAACTGATGTCTCATGGGCACAAGCTTACCTGCAAAAAGTTAGGCTATAAATTTTGTTTAACATATAAGATACAGGTGTTACACGTGAAATATTGGTGTAGTGTAGATGTGAGGCTTACTTGTGATTGGGGTCTTTCATGCTAATAACCGGCTCACCTAATATTTAATAGTGATCACTTTTAATAAAAGATGTGGGGAAAGTTCGGTACTCAGCTCTTCCCGTTGTTAGTGTAAGGGTCTCTGGCAATTTCTCTGTTGGTTGACTTATAATTTTGAGTCTTTGATGAGGTATGCGTGTTACGATTCTCTGCAAGAAACTCTCTCATGTCTTTGTTTACATTCTGGTAGACAATGACTGGCTGCCCTGCCGCTCTCGGCATCCCCCATCGATGGTTCCATCTCTGTCTTAATTTTTGACAATAGGCAGGCAAGCCTTCAAGTTTAAGCAAAGAAAACTGTTTGTTATTGAGTCTACTTAAACTGTTGCTTTATAGGATACGTGATTGCTTAAATATGTTTGTTTTGATGTGACGTCACGACCTCATTCTCTTTAAACTTTTACTGCCTAACTAATGTAGATAGTATAACCAGGTTTGCTGGCTAGGGGGGTGGGGTGGGACAGCATAGGGACCTATGTACTCCCACCTCACTCACCCACGTACCTATCCTGTCCCTACCCACTCACCAATGTAACTGTCCATTGCTGCTTCTAGACTTCATGCAATCTTTTGTTTTTGCATATTTGTTCTGCTTCGCTTCTCACCCATAACTAGATGTTTGAGTAACATTTATCACCTAAACTCTCCACCAACGGAATCCCTCTTTTACTACGGGAGGCTAAACTGACCCAGAGTTGCAATGTACACTGTGCCGTGTGCAATGTACACTGTACCGTGTGCAATGTACACTGTGCCGTGTGCAATGTACACTGTGCCGTGTGCAATGTACACTGTGCCGTGTGCAATGTACACTGTACCGTGTGGAATGTACACTGTACCGTGTGCAATGTAAACTGTGCCGTGTGCAATGTACACTGTGCCGTGTGCAATGTACACTGTGCCGTGTGCAATGTACACTGTACCGTGTGCAATGTACATTGTGCCGTGTGCAATGTACACTGTGCCGTGTGCAATGTACACTGTGCCGTGTGCAATGTACACTGTGCCGTGGGCAATGTACACTGTGCCAAGTGCAATGTTTCCATCGGGTTGAGTGGTGCATAAAGGAACGTGTCATTCACGAGAAAACTGTTTTTACACTATAATTTATAAAGGATAGAGTTAAGTGTTGCAAAGTTTAGTAGTGTTGGTGTGGGGGATGGTATTGATGTGTGGTCTCCGGCAGCGTTCCCACTGCTGACGGAGCTGCGGTGGCTCATGGTGACGATGGCGGTGTGGGGGTGCGGTGTGGGCACCACCATGGGCCTCTACAACCTCGTCATGGTCACTATTATGGGCCTGGACAACCTGGCTCCAGTGTTCGGTGCCTCCTGCCTTGCTGTTGGCGTCGGCTTCCTCTTCCTCGGACCACTCATAGGTCAGTCACCAGTGGGTGTCTCGACCCATTGTCTTGGTTCTCACTCTACCCACAGTTAACAGTATACCGGAGCTGCACTGTTTATATATATGTATATATATATATATATATATATATATATATATATGTCGTACCTAGTAGCCAGAACGCACTTCTGAGCCTTCTATGCAAGGCCCGATTTGCCTAATAAGCCAAGTTTTCATGAAGTAATATATTTTCTCAATTTTTTTTCTTATGAAATTATAAAGATACCCATTTCATTATGTATGAGGTCAATTTTTTATTATTGGAATTAAAATTAACGTAGATATATGACCGAACCTAACCAACCCTACCTAACCTAACCTATCTTTATAGGTTAGGTTAGGTTAGGTAGCCGAAAAAGTTAGGTTAGGTTAGGTTAGGTAGGTTAGGTAGTAGAAAAACAATTATTTCATGAAAACTTGGCTTATTAGGCAAATCGGGCCTTGCATAGTAGGCTGAGAAGTGCGTTCTGGCTACTAGGTACGACATATATATATATATATATATATATATATATATATATATATATATATATATATATATATATATATATATAAATGGGCATCACACTGGGGTCCTGGTGGTCATGGGCATCACACTGGGGTCCTGGTGGGCATGGGTCATGGGCATCACACTGGGGTCCTGGTGGTCATGGGCATCACACTGGGGTCCTGGTGGGCATGGGTCATGGGCATCACACTGGGGTCCTGGTGGTCATGGGCATCACACTGGGGTCCTGGTGGTCATGGGCATCACACTGGGGTCCAGGTGGTCATGGGCATCACACTGGGGTCCTGGTGGTCATGGGCATCACACTGGGGTCCTGGTGGTCATGGGCATCACACTGGGGTCCTGGTGGTCATGGGCAGCACACTGGGGTCCTGGTGGTCATGGGCATCACACTGGGGTCCTGGTGGGTCATGGGCATCACACTGGGGTCCTGGTGGTCATGGGCATCACACTGGGGTCCTGGTGGTCATGGGCACCACACTGGGGTCCTGGTGGGCATGGGTCATGGGCACCACACTGGGGTCCTGGTGGTCATGGGCATCACACTGGGGTCCTGGTGGTCATGGGCATCACACTGGGGTCCTGGTGGTCATGGGCACCACACTGGGGTCCTGGTGGTCATGGGCACCACACTGGGGTCCTGGTGGGCATGGGCATCACACTGGGGTCCTGGTGGTCATGGGCACCACACTGGGGTCCTGGTGGTCATGGGCATCACACTGGGGTCCTGGTGGTCATGGGCATCACACTGGGGTCCTGGTGGTCATGGGCATCACACTGGGGTCCTGGTGGTCATGGGCAGCACACTGGGGTCCTGGTGGGCATGGGTCATGGGCATCACACTGGGGTCCTGGTGGTCATGGGCATCACACTGGGGTCCTGGTGGTCATGGGCACCACACTGGGGTCCTGGTGGGCATGGGCATCACACTGGGGTCCTGGTGGGCATGGGCATCACACTGGGGTCCTGGTGGTCATGGGCATCACACTGGGGTCCTGGTGGGCACTGGGTCCTGGTGGTCATGGGCATCACACTGGGGTCCTGGTGGGCATCACACTGGGTCATGGGCACCACACTGGGGTCCTGGTGGTCATGGGCATCACACTGGGGTCCTGGTGGTCATGGGCATCACACTGGGGTCCTGGTGGGCATGGGCACCACACTGGGGTCCTGGTGGTCATGGGCATCACACTGGGGTCCTGGTGGTCATGGGCATCACACTGGGGTCCTGGTGGTCATGGGCATCACACTGGGGTCCTGGTGGGCATGGGCATCACACTGGGGTCCTGGTGGGCATGGGTCATGGGCATCACACTGGGGTCCTGGTGGGCATGGGTCATGGGCATCACACTGGGGTCCTGGTGGTCATGGGCATCACACTGGGGTCCTGGTGGTCATGGGCATCACACTGGGGTCCTGGTGGTCATGGGCATCACACTGGGGTCCTGGTGGTCATGGGCATCACACTGGGGTCCTGGTGGTCATGGGCATCACACTGGGGTCCTGGTGGTCATGGGCATCACACTGGGGTCCTGGTCATGGGGTCATGGGTCATGGGCATCACACTGGGGTCCTGGTGGTCATGGGCATCACACTGGGGTCCTGGTGGTCATGGGCATCACACTGGGGTCCTGGTGGTCATGGGCATCACACTGGGGTCCTGGTGGTCATGGGCATCACACTGGGGTCCTGGTGGTCATGGGCATCACACTGGGGTCCTGGTGGTCATGGGCATCACACTGGGGTCCTGGTGGTCATGGGCATCACACTGGGGTCCTGGTGGTCATGGGCATCACACTGGGGTCCTGGTGGTCATGGGCATCACACTGGGGTCCTGGTGGTCATGGGCATCACACTGGGGTCCTGGTGGTCATGGGCAGCACACTGGGGTCCTGGTGGTCATGGGCATCACACTGGGGTCCTGGGCATCACACTGGGGTCATGGGCATCACACTGGGGTCCTGGTGGTCATGGGCATCACACTGGGGTCCTGGTGGTCATGGGCATCACACTGGGGTCCTGGTGGTCATGGGCATGGGCACACTGGGGTCCTGGTGGTCATGGGCATGGGCATCACACTGGGGTCCTGGTGGTCATGGGTCATGGGCACACTGGGGTCCTGGTGGTCATGGGCATCACACTGGGGTCCTGGTGGTCATGGGCATCACACTGGGGTCCTGGTGGTCATGGGCATCACACTGGGGTCCTGGTGGTCATGGGCATCACACTGGGGTCCTGGTGGTCATGGGCATCACACTGGGGTCCTGGTGGTCATGGTGGTCATGGGCAGCACACTGGGGTCCTGGTGGTCATGGGCATCACACTGGGGTCCTGGTGGTCATGGGCACCACACTGGGGTCCTGGTGGTCATGGGCATCACACTGGGGTCCTGGTGGTCATGGGCATCACACTGGGGTCCTGGTGGTCATGGGCATCACACTGGGGTCCTGGTGGTCATGGGCATCACACTGGGGTCCTGGTGGTCATGGGCATCACACTGGGGTCCTGGTGGTCATGGGCAGCACACTGGGGTCCTGGTGGTCATGGGCATCACACTGGGGTCCTGGTGGTCATGGGCACCACACTGGGGTCCTGGTGGTCATGGGCATCACACTGGGGTCCTGGTGGTCATGGGGGGCACCACACTGGGGTCCTGGTGGTCATGGGCATCACACTGGGGTCCTGGTGGGCATGGGCATCACACTGGGGTCCTGGTGGTCATGGGCATCACACTGGGGTCCTGGTGGTCATGGGCATCACACTGGGGTCCTGGTGGTCATGGGCATCACACTGGGGTCCTGGTGGTCATGGGCATCACACTGGGGTCCTGGTGGTCATGGGCATCACACTGGGGTCCTGGTGGTCATGGGCATCACACTGGGGTCCTGGTGGGCATGGGCACCACACTGGGGTCCTGGTGGTCATGGGCATCACACTGGGGTCCTGGTGGGCATGGGCATCACACTGGGGTCCTGGTGGTCATGGGCATCACACTGGGGTCCTGGTGGTCATGGGCACCACACTGGGGTCCTGGTGGGTCATGGGCATCACACTGGGGTCCTGGTGGTCATGGGCATCACACTGGGGTCCTGGTGGTCATGGGTCATGGGCATCACACTGGGGTCCTGGTGGTCATGGGCATCACACTGGGGTCCTGGTGGTCATGGGCATCACACTGGGGGCATCACCTGGTGGTGGTCATGGGCATCACACTGGGGTCCTGGTGGTCATGGGCATCACACTGGGGTCCTGGTGGTCATGGGCATCACACTGGGGTCCTGGTGGTCATGGGCATCACACTGGGGTCCTGGTGGTCATGGGCATCACACTGGGGTCCTGGTGGTCATGGGCATCACACTGGGGTCCTGGTGGGCATGGGCATCACACTGGGGTCCTGGTGGTCATGGGCATCACACTGGGGTCCTGGTGGTCATGGGCATCACACTGGGGTCCTGGTGGTCATGGGCATCACACTGGGGTCCTGGTGGTCATGGGCATCACACTGGGGTCCTGGTGGTCATGGGCATCACACTGGGGTCCTGGTGGTCATGGGCACCACACTGGGGTCCTGGTGGTCATGGGCATCACACTGGGGTCCTGGTGGTCATGGGCATCACACTGGGGTCCTGGTGGTCATGGGCATCATGGGTCATGGGCACCACACTGGGGTCCTGGTGGTCATGGGCATCACACTGGGGTCCTGGTGGGTCATGGGCATCACACTGGGGTCCTGGTGGGTCATGGGTCATGGGCATCACACTGGGGTCCTGGTGGTCATGGGCATCACACTGGGGTCCTGGTGGTGGTCATGGGCATCACACTGGGGTCCTGGTGGTCATGGGCATCACACTGGGGTCCTGGTGGTCATGGGCATCACACTGGGGTCCTGGTGGTCATGGGCATCACACTGGGGTCCTGGTGGTCATGGGCATCACACTGGGGTCCTGGTGGTCATGGGCATCACACTGGGGTCCTGGTGGTCATGGGCACCACACTGGGGTCCTGGTGGTCATGGGCATCACACTGGGGTCCTGGTGGTCATGGGCACCACACTGGGGTCCTGGTGGTCATGGGCATCACACTGGGGTCCTGGTGGTCATGGGCATCACACTGGGGTCCTGGTGGGCATGGGCAGCACACTGGGGTCCTGGTGGTCATGGGCATCACACTGGGGTCCTGGTGGGCATGGGCATCACACTGGGGTCCTGGTGGTCATGGGCACCACACTGGGGTCCTGGTGGTCATGGGCATCACACTGGGGTCCTGGTGGGTCATGGGCATCACACTGGGGTCCTGGTGGTCATGGGCATCACACTGGGGTCCTGGTGGGTCATGGGCATCACACTGGGGTCCTGGTGGGTCATGGGCATCACACTGGGGTCCTGGTGGTCATGGGTCATGGGCACCACACTGGGGTCCTGGTGGTCATGGGCATCACACTGGGGTCCTGGTGGTCATGGGCATCA